GCCCATGCATTTTGATCAAAAATCGACCATTTTTGGTCATTTTGGTGGGCTATAGCCCATGCATTTTGATCAAATAAAGGTCATTTTTGTCCCTTTTGGTGGGCTATAGTTTATGCATTTGATCTTGAAAAATGGGTCGCTTTTTGGCCATTTTGGTGAAGTATAATAGTACATGTGCTCAAAAACAGCCCAAAAATCCTGATTACTTGATAGACTATAGCCCWGGAAAAGCACTAAAAACACCCCAAAATCGTGATTTTTGATGGACTATAGCCCATGAGAAGTGCTCAATAATAGTCCAAAATCGTGATTTTTGATAGAAAATGCTCTATTAAGATAACAGACCTACAATTGACAAAGTCAATCGCCAGTAATCAAATAATTACATTTATTACTGGCTTTGCTTATATTACTGTACAGTAATCACATAAATTGAAGATACATGTAAATTCATATTTTTACAAATTGAGTTAAACCTAGAGCATACTATCATATCAGCACAAAATTGCAACCCATCTCCAAGCAACAATAAATTTTCTCTAGTAATTCTGACATAACTAGGTGTTTTGAACATGTTAATACAATGTTGAAGAAWGCACTGTCCAAGTCTCACTATTGTTCAATCAAAATATCATCATTCAAGCATCCATACAAAGAAAATGTAATCAAAATCAAATCAGCTTTCACTTACACAAATATTTTTTCATTCAAAACAGTATGCATATAGAAAGCAAATACAAAAAAAAAAAGAATTCATTTCCTGATCTTTCAGTTCACCAGACCTTAATGATGTTTTTTCAATTCCATCGGTTGACGACCAGTCTTTCCAAACATAGGCTTTGCTGTACCATTGACAACATGAACTGTCAAGAACTCCACATAGCATGTATCAGGGTAGTCACATGGTGCGTCATCTAGCTCCATGACAACCAAAGTACCTGCTTGCTGATTGGGTGCCATGACACTAGCTGGGACATACAATGTCTGCTGTGGTCCAGATACTGGCCAGTAACGACCAACATTTACTCCGTTAACAAACGCTA